GACTAGCTTTGTAAGGGAATTCTCGGAGTTCTAATGAGAAGCCGTGATCAGTGGAGCTAATCCATGTCGGTTAGTGACAGGTATCTACCTCAGTAAAATGAAAGTTGGTCGCGCAATTTCGTGGATTGGTTGATGTTAAACACTATCACCATTGGATGCCGGCTCATTGGTCCAGTAGGTTAAGCGTTATAGCGCGAGGTCGAACGTCCTGCGTTCGAATCCTGCGAGTGAGATCGTTGATGTGCACTGCTGAGGAGTTCCACAATAGGATGAAACTGCCGTCCAGTGCTCCCAGGTTTTCAATGATGGTCTAACATCAATCGGTTCATGATCTTAATCAAAGGATATTGTGTTAAAATTAACTATCTTTAATCTTCAAACTATAGTTCAATTTAGAGTGTAGAATTTTTACAGTTTTACTCATGAATGGGACAATATGAGACGGCACAGGTAAAGGAAGATGGTCACAAAATAAGGTGAACTGATTGGATTTGTATATCATTTAGTGCAAGCTTGGTGGTTTGGAGGTTAATCGTTCACGAGATACCAAAGTACCTGAACTTCAATTCCATGTGAGGGATCGTGGATGCACACTGATGAGTAGTCCTATACTATGATGGAACAATCGTCCAGTGCTTACAGGTTTCAATACTGGTCTAACATTGATCGGTTCATGAATTTAATGAAATTTAACAATCTCCACATCTCCAAACTGAAAACAGATGAGTGGTGTCTAGCGATGTAGCTTAAGACATGCGTCTTGTCGTACTTGAGACTCATCAGCTGGATGTGCTTGTATCCAAATCAGTGTTCACCCCAGGACTCAAACCCAATACCATTCACATCAAATGACATCACGTTATCCATTTAGCTACTGAGTCCAGATAACTGTTGGTCAGTTCAGTTGGCTGAATTTTAATTTTTAGATGTCTGTTGTTTGAATCTTCCCATTGATGTTTGGGACAACAACTGATTAGTTTCTATTGGCACGTGCACAACTCTAGAATCCAGGCACATCCAGTTGACGAGTTTCAAAGTGTACATATACCAAAAGAGACTAATCAATTACAATTCTAATCATCAATCAGAACATTCAACCAAACATTACTTATCAAGTAAAAATATGTTATGTTTACAAGTTTCCTAAATGTTAATATAGATTAGGAATTTAAACCAAGACAACCATCTTGTCCCGTATAGTTTGTTATTTAAATGTACTCGAAGATAACGAAAACAAAAACTGATGCAGAATAGTATGAATTCACTTCATTTCGTCAGGTTCTCATTAGCTGAATACAAACTGTAATATTCTCAAATATAAGCTATGACAGATATTGACATATACTTTATTTATTTATTTTAACACATAGATATTGGTACAAGGAGGCACCAAATGCATATGCGCCACACAAATCTCATTCGATATGTGTGAGGGCTGTGATACTACCCGGGTGCCCAGATCGAAGTAAGTGGTTCGCTTAGGAGGCCACACCCAGGGCCTTCGACATGAAGGTCTGATCCACAAGGTAGTGGAGCATCGTAAGGAGATGCAGTCTCATGGAAGCCAGTGACCAACAATTGGTTCATACGCCATTTGTTTCCGCAGGATACTGGAGCCCATGTGCACCATTGGTTTGGAATCGCGGTTTTCCAACTTCCCTAGGTGGACTCTCCATGTCCACCAACACGGTTAAAGCACCGGACATTCGATTTTCGTCCTCTCAGTTTCGTAAGCAACAGTAGTGCCACGAGAAGACAGTGTGTAGGACTTCGCTGGCAGAGGCTATATACGCGTGGCTATATGAGAGCATTTGGAGAGGGAGAGCGGACTCTTTTCACTCTCGGCCATACCAGGGCATTTGGGGGCGACATACTTATACATACGAAGTAGAAGTTATTCTAGGAGAAATAATTAACCAGTGAAATTAAAATATAAGATAATTTTCAAACGCACGATATAAGATATAGAGCAGATGAATCTGTCCACCAGCCATCGACTCTGAGCCATGCTACACAATGTTTTCAACTATCGGTTGTGATAACGGTACAAGTCTCAACCAAGTTGTTTGAACTTAATGAGATGCCTTAGATCGACAGCCAGTGGTTACATAAACTGACGACACGTTTTAGTTTGAGCACTTGTAACTTTCTCCTGATCTACTTCCACAAGAGCTAACACTGACTGTAGAGGTAAACAGTAGTTGGACACACGTAGTACTTGTCCCAATCACTTTTTTTCCATCAAGAATTGATATGACTGAAAAAAACAGAAAATACCGATCAGATAGTTATTTCATCGCAATGTAAGACTCATTAGCTAACTTTTTCTAATCTAGTAGAGTTTAAACTACTCACATCTCTATCAGAAAACCATTGAAATCAAAGTAGTACTGAAGAGCCAGTTGTTTTGTTCTAGTATAAAAGTATTCGACAGTATGGATCAATGAACTCACCAATAATCGATAGCTTTAGACCTTGTGGAAAGCATTTAAACTTCAAACAAATGAATCGGCATCCACTAGTTAATATTTCAAACTTCCATTATTTTATTATATTCCACTACTAACCAAAGTCAGTCAGTAATGTAAAGTAGAAACTCAACAATCTTTACAACCTTCATATATTTACACCCATCTTTGTCTTACAAATCGGAAGTTTGTTTACTATGAACAAAATAAAGTGTTCCTATAGCGAAAAAACAGTACTTTGGACAAAGTGAACAACCCCTTCATCTTCGCCTGCATGAAAATCAATTAGCGGTCAAACGCCATGAAATATCTTCGCTTATATTAATGCACATTGATAATCGTAGTAACACGTTCGACTGGAAAAATGTTGAAGCTTATGGTAAGGGGAATACTAATTACACCAGAGAGTTTTTTTAGAAGCTTGGCATTCAGGTCAATAAGCAATCAACCGACACATTGAAATGGCTTCAATCTATCAACCAATCAGAAAAATCATGGACAAATATAAGACCAAGAATCAGATCAAAAGGAGATGAAATCAAAATAAGAGGTAGATAATGACAGGCGAAAGGTCAACAATAATCAATCAAGATCGAGGTCGAAAAGACAAGCTGTGAGTCATATATGAAGAAATTCGAACACTTCTACCTGAACTTTGTGATGATGATATTGTTTTTAGAAGAACGACGAAAGCTTCACGACATAAACCATCCAGCTCAGAGAATAAAACTCCATCACCCCCAAATGCCCTGGTACGGTTGAGAGTGAGGAGAGTCCGCTCTCCCTATCCAAATGCTCTCACATGGCCACGCGTATATATTCTCTGACAGAGAAGTCCTACTCACTGCCATCCCGTGGAACTAATGTTGTTTACGAAATCGAGAGAACGAAAAGCGAATGTCTGGCACTTTAACCGAGTTGGTGGATATGGAGAGTCCACCTAGTGGAGTTGGAAAACCCTCATTCCAAATCAATGGTGCACATGGGCTCCATTATCCTGAGTGAACGAATGGCGTGTGAACCAATTATTGGTCACCGGCTTCCATGAGACTGCATCTCCTTACGATGCTCCACTACCTTGTGGATCAGACCTTCATGTCGAAGGCCCTGGGTGTGGCCTCCTAAGCGAACCACTTACTTCGATCTGGGCACCCGGGTAGTATCACAGCCCTCACACATATCGAATGAGATTTGTGTGGCGCATATGCATTTGGTGCCTCCTTGTACCAATATCTATGTGTTAAAATAAATAAATAAAACTCCATCAAAATCATCTACCTGAGTTACAAATCTTCTCCAACATTTCAAAATCCTCTTAGTTATTTAATAAAATAGCAAAATAAACTTGAGCATTCACATCGAGGTCCATCTATATCTATTTGACTAGTCCCAAATAAGGCATAATCTCACTAATAATTACAATTTAAATACACCGAGAATTAAAAGGAAATTAAATTATAAAAAAAAAACTCTACTAACTACAGCAGACAATCACTCTTCTATACCTTAATGTAAATTTATCGACAGTCTGAACGAAACGACGAAAAAAAAATAGGTACATTAAAGAGGAAGAAGAATGTATATGAATATGAAGTAAATTCAACGTTTTGCCTAAGAATCTAGTCCAAGCTTTTTTCAAGGAAATATAGAAACAAACATTAAAATTATCAATAATTTTGATTGCCAGACGAAACAGATTTCATTCAAATTCATTCATTGATGTAAGAGTAGGTTGAAAGAAAGCTAGAGGCGACCAAACAAAAACATGGAACAAATCTATGAAGTTACTGACAAGTGAACTGAGACATGTTTGTAGGTGTAGACTACCTGGTTGGGATCCACGAGATTATAGTAACTGATGATTAGAGACCTTGAATGATATGGCTCAAAATCGTTTACAATGATGCAGGTGCATCCACTCTTTGTGTTCTCCCGAATTCTAATCTTCTGACTTTTCCATGTTCCTTTTCTTTTTCTCTTTTCAAATTTATCTCACTGCATTATACTCCTTGAATAACGTCTTCAAACCCTAATGTTTCCGACTACTGATTATACTTTTATTACTTCTACCACTATGGAATTTGCATAGATAATTGTTTCTGTGTGGTAATGTGGTATGGCAATTCGAAGTGATGTTCTTATGTACGAAGTCCTACGTTGTTGCTGACTGACTGCTGAGTGACTGACTAACTGACTGACTGACAGACTTTTAATGTCTCACATTAACTCGGTGCCCAAATACGGTATAACCAATCTATCAAATTTAGACGAAAGTACTTATTATTACGTACTCTTATCATGGAGTAGATCTATGAATTAAAAATTGTAACAGAATAATCAACCTAACACTCAACCAACTTTCTAGTTATTATCTATTCTATAATAATTATTATTATCCTTAAAATAATAAGCCTTCAATTCAGTCCCATATGAAGAAACAAAAAAGAATTAAAAAAACAACATATGCTTAAATGTACTATTCACGATATAGACGGAAAAGACTTTAGAGATAAATAGCATAAGCGAAATAGAATGGTGACTACTACTACTACTACTACTACTACTACTACTACTACTACTACTACTACTACTACTACTACTACTACTACTACTACTACTACTACTACTACTACTACTACTACTACTACTACTACTACTACTACTACTACTACTACTACTACTACTACTACTACTACTACTACTACTACTACTACTACTACTACTACTACTACTACTACTACTACTACTACTACTACTACTACTACTACTACTACTACTACTACTACTACTACTACTACTACTACTACTACTACTACTACTACTACTACTACTACTACTACTACTACTACTACTACTACTACTACTACTACTACTACTACTACTACTACTACTACTACTACTACTACTACTACTACTACTACTACTACTACTACTACTACTACTACTACTACTACTACTACTACTACTACTACTACTACTACTACTACTACTACTACTACTACTACTACTACTACTACTACTACTACTACTACTACTACTACTACTACTACTACTACTACTACTACTACTACTACTACTACTACTACTACTACTACTACTACTACTACTACTACTACTACTACTACTACTACTACTACTACTACTACTACTACTACTACTACTACTACTACTACTACTACTACTACTACTACTACTACTACTACTACTACTACTACTACTACTACTACTACTACTACTACTACTACTACTACTACTACTACTACTACTACTACTACTACTACTACTACTACTACTACTACTACTACTACTACTACTACTACTACTACTACTACTACTACTACTACTACTACTACTACTACTACTACTACTACTACTACTACTACTACTACTACTACTACTACTACTACTACTACTACTACTACTACTACTACTACTACTACTACTACTACTACTACTACTACTACTACTACTACTACTACTACTACTACTACTACTACTACTACTACTACTACTACTACTACTACTACTACTACTACTACGGTCACATCCTTAACTCGAACCATCTGATGTGAACCTTTGAAAAGTATTGCATACAATTTAAAACTATTTTTATAAAATATTTCAGCTAAAGCTATCATAGTTTGTTTACTAGTGACATTGTTGTCATGGTCCTATTTAGGCGTCATCACTGATTGAGTATTGGTTTTCTACAGGATTGAAATCGTGATCATTGTCTGGGATTGAATGGTTGTCGCATTATGTAAGTGATTCACTGAATTTGAAAATATGTATCACTGAATTCTAACTCAATGATATAAATATGACCTACTTTCCTTGAGGTCCTATTGTATTGGGTCCATTCTCATGAGATGGTAATTTATGTACATTACTTCTTTGAGTTCTATATTGCTCTGTTTGATATCATCAGTACACAACGAATATAACCTATGAATCAAATCATTTTTTACACAATACCTTTTTAACAACAAAAAATACACTAATTATTGAGAATCATTAAAATTCATTTTACAGATGGTGTCCCGAATACGATTCTTGTAATTGATTAAAAATCAATTATAATATCTAATTAACGATTAATAGTAGTTTAGGTATTAGTTGATAAGGCATCATATAGTTGGTTATTTATTGTTCATATCCATTATTATTATTATTGTCATATATCATATGTTATTAAGTGAACTGTAATGATAAGTAAATTAAGTCTAATGTCTTAAAATATGAATAAAAATACACACAAATTTATTGAAACACAATCTCTCTCTGTCTCTCACTTTCTATCTCCTTCCATTGATATTACACGCTGTAACAAGAATTCTGGTAGTCCATGTAACCATGTTACACGTTTCAAGCATTACCATTTAAAGTAATCTAGAGCTTAGTAACAAAACAACACACACAAAAAAACTTTTTCTAAAGGATGTGCTCTTATTATAATATACAATGGTGAATCATTGACTTCATTATTGTACACATTAAATAGATAAACGACAACCTTAAATGATACTTAATGTTAATTGTATAGAACATAGACAGACACTACTAAACATTTTGTGAATCTTTAAACAATAAATTGTTCAGACTAGTGACAAATGGATCATATAAATGATTGTCGTCTTGAAAAAATTATTAATTTAAATCATGTTGTAAATGAATTTTTATAGATAGAAATGAATGCAATCAGAGAGAGGATTTTGTGGATATATAGTAATTTTAATACTTGCATTCATAAGTCAATTGATGCTAGACCATCATGGAAAACCTGCAAATGCTGGACGGCCATTTCACTCTACCGTAGGACTCCTGAGCAGTGAGCATCCACAATCCCGCCTCACGAGATTAGAATTCAGGACCTATCGATCTCGCGCACGAACGCTTAATCATTAGACCACTGAGCCGGTATCCAAAGTTGTTAATGTCTAACTTCAATCAATCCACGAAGTTGCGCCATCATCCACCATTTTCATCAGTGAGTTACTATCTCACAACAGACCCGGTTGAATTTTACTGGTCACTGCTTCTAACTAAAACTCCAGGAAATACCTGTTGGAGACCACCTTCACACTTGAGCATATGATGATTGTAATCAGAGAGGGGATTTTCTGGATATTATAATAATTTTAATAGTTGACTTCATGAGTCAAATGAAGCTAAATTCAGTTTTCAATATTTAATAAATGTGTTAAATTCAAGGCTCTCAGATAATTCTTTAGCCATTTCATGAATGGGTGCTTTATAATGAGGCGGTTTTTATCAAGTTATATTTCTCACTATATAGGTCTGCGCTACGTCGAACACGTACACGAGAGATGTTTGCGGATTATTTAAAATACCTGAAGTTGTATCTTCAGTGAAAATTGCATTTTAGTATGGAGCATTCATCAAACATTTGAACGTTAGATAGCAGGAAATGGTGTATTACAAGCTGTTCGTTAAACATTGAGGAGATTGCTTATAACCTCAGTCGTTAAAACGTTGAAAGGGTAAAGAGTGGAGTACACTACATTTATCATGATCAGTTAGAAATATACAACCACGACCAGATGTGTAATCACCCTGGTTGTCCAAAGTTTTAAGTTCACGAGCTCCATATTTGCCGTCCGATGATTATTGAGGCTAATATACTAAAACTTTCTAGGTAACTTCAAGAACTGAATCACGCTTATTTACCTACATTAAGCAAACAAGTGGATTTGTTGACATTTGTTAAGGAGTAGGGTTGTCAGATTTTAGTGTTTAAAAATTAATTATGAAAACTAATCAATTAATTGATTTTGGTCTATTTCCTTTCGATAGTTACGCAACTAATCATCATCATCGACATCATCATCATCATCATCATCATCATCATCATCATCATCATCATCATCATCATCATCATCATCATCATCATCATCATCATCATCATCATCATCATCATCATCATCATCATCATCATCATCATCATCATCATCATCATCATCATCATCATCATCATCATCATCATCATCATCATCATCATCATCATCATCATCATCATCATCATCATCATCATCATCATCATCATCATCATCATCATCATCATCATCATCATCATCATCATCATCATCATCATCATCATCATCATCATCATCATCATCATCATCATCATCATCATCATCATCATCATCATCATCATCATCATCATCATCATCATCATCATCATCATCATCATCATCATCATCATCATCATCATCATCATCATCATCATCATCATCATCATCATCATCATCATCATCATCATCATCATCATCATCATCATCATCATCATCATCATCATCATCATCATCATCATCATCATCATCATCATCATCATCATCATCATCATCATCATCATCATCATCATCATCATCATCATCATCATCATCATCATCATCATCATCATCATCATCATCATCATCATCATCATCATCATCATCATCATCATCATCATCATCATCATCATCATCATCATCATCATCATCATCATCATCATCATCATCATCATCATCATCATCATCATCATCATCATCATCATCATCATCATCATCATCATCATCATCATCATCATCATCATCATCATCATCATCATCATCATCATCATCATCATCATCATCATCATCATCATCATCATCATCATCATCATCATCATCATCATCATCATCATCATCATCATCATCATCATCATCATCATCATCATCATCATCATCATCATCATCATCATCATCATCATCATCATCATCATCATCATCATCATCATCATCATCATCATCATCATCATCATCATCATCATCATCATCATCATCATCATCATCATCATCATCATCATCATCATCATCATCATCATCATCATCATCATCATCATCATCATCATCATCATCATCATCATCATCATCATCATCATCATCATCATCATCATCATCATCATCATCATCATCATCATCATCATCATCATCATCATCATCATCATCATCATCATCATCATCATCATCATCATCATCATCATCATCATCATCATCATCATCATCATCATCATCATCATCATCATCATCATCATCATCATCATCATCATCATCATCATCATCATCATCATCATCATCATCATCATCATCATCATCATCATCATCATCATCATCATCATCATCATCATCATCATCATCATCATCATCATCATCATCATCATCATCATCATCATCATCATCATCATCATCATCATCATCATCATCATCATCATCATCATCATCATCATCATCATCATCATCATCATCATCATCATCATCATCATCATCATCATCATCATCATCATCATCATCATCATCATCATCATCATCATCATCATCATCATCATCATCATCATCATCATCATCATCATCATCATCATCATCATCATCATCATCATCATCATCATCATCATCATCATCATCATCATCATCATCATCATCATCATCATCATCATCATTTAGAAGTAACAAATCTGAAACCTGACAACAGTTTGAAGGAATGAATGAACACTTTCAATTTTACGTACATTCTATTCGTCATTGACAATGGATTATTTCCACAAATTGACAATTTTCATACATGATGTGTTCGTTTTTCGTCAGATAACCTACACTTATAAACCAGCGTTTTCATGTATGAGCATCAACAAATTCATATACATACCTAAACTGACAAATACACACACACAGATTACAATAGAGTAGTGAATAATTGTGCAGAAGTTGTATCCCATCTCTCTGGTAAATTGACATGATACATGCTGTTGATTATATGAGTAAATGTATGTACAATTTTTTCACTGATACATATCAATATCTTAATCAAAAAATGTTGACACATAGAGTATATACAGCCAGCTTGATATAGTATTTGCAGTCATATAGTCATTGACCAACTCTCTCTTAACGTTTAAGTAATGGGTATATAAAACCCCAAATAGCATCTACTCAATATGCACTGCACTCAACAGACGCTCAATCACAAGTATTATATTGAAATTTGGATTTACTGATCGTTATGATTTTTTTTATATTTTATGAAACGATTAAAACTACATTAAACGGTCAATAACCGTACAATAATACGACTCATTCCTTAATGTATCAGTCAAAACATTAGAAAACTAACGAAGTATCATGTATTGTCCTACATTACCCTGAATTTAAAACTTCTAAAAGTCTAGTTTGGGAACGATTCGATGAGAACTGAGGGAATTGTTGACGAGTTTCAACTCAAAATGTAATCATAGATGTCTTTTATCTTCCATCACAAAAAATCCACCACACAAATATCTTTGTATAATGCTTAAAACGTTTCAAATTCCAAAGATGTGACCAGTGGACTTCAACCGGGCCTGTTGTGAGATAGTAACTCAGCGAAGACAATGGTGGATGTGTCTCTCAATTTCGTGGATTGATTGAATTTATACATTAAGAGTGTTGGATGCCAGCTCAGTGGTCTAGAGGTTAAGCGTTCGCAAGCGAGACTGAAAACACAGGGTTCGAATCCCTCGTGTGCAGGATCGTGGATACGCATTACTGAAGAGTCCCACGATAGAGCGAAACGGTCATTCAGTCCTTCTAGATTCTCAATGATGGTCTTATGTCAATCAGTTCATAATGTCAATTAAAAACTTAGTAATCTCCGTAACAAAACAATTGTCAACAAAAACCAAGGTCATAATTTTCAATACTAATGTGAAAACAGTTCTACACTATGGGGCGAAAATTTGAAGAACTACGAAAGCCATCATCGAGAAGATACAAATGTTGATTAACAGTTCTCCACACAAAATATTTTACATCCGTTGACCAGACACTATCAAAAATAACCTACTGTGCGGGAGAACAAACCAGATCCCAACGGAGAAAGAAGTAAGTAAGTAAGTAAGTAAGTAAGTAAGTAAGTAAGTAAGTAAGTAAGTAAGTAAGTAAGTAAGTAAGTAAGTAAGTAAGTAAGTAAGTAAGTAAGTAAGTAAGTAAGTAAGTAAGTAAGTAAGTAAGTAAGTAAGTAAGTAAGTAAGTAAGTAAGTAAGTAAGTAAGTAAGTAAGTAAGTAAGTAAGTAAGTAAGTAAGTAAGTAAGTAAGTAAGTAAGTAAGTAAGTAAGTAAGTAAGTAAGTAAGTAAGTAAGTAAGTAAGTAAGTAAGTAAGTAAGTAAGTAAGTAAGTAAGTAAGTAAGTAAGTAAGTAAGTAAGTAAGTAAGTAAGTAAGTAAGTAAGTAAGTAAGTAAGTAAGTAAGTAAGTAAGTAAGTAAGTAAGTAAGTAAGTAAGTAAGTAAGTAAGTAAGTAAGTAAGTAAGTAAGTAAGTAAGTAAGTAAGTAAGTAAGTAAGTAAGTAAGTAAGTAAGTAAGTAAGTAAGTAAGTAAGTAAGTAAGTAAGTAAGTAAGTAAGTAAGTAAGTAAGTAAGTAAGTAAGTAAGTAAGTAAGTAAGTAAGTAAGTAAGTAAGTAAGTAAGTAAGTAAGTAAGTAAGTAAGTAAGTAAGTAAGTAAGTAAGTAAGTAAGTAAGTAAGTAAGTAAGTAAGTAAGTAAGTAAGTAAGTAAGTAAGTAAGTAAGTAAGTAAGTAAGTAAGTAAGTAAGTAAGTAAGTAAGTAAGTAAGTAAGTAAGTAAGTAAGTAAGTAAGTAAGTAAGTAAGTAAGTAAGTAAGTAAGTAAGTAAGTAAGTAAGTAAGTAAGTAAGTAAGTAAGTAAGTAAGTAAGTAAGTAAGTAAGTAAGTAAGTAAGTAAGTAAGTAAGTAAGTAAGTAAGTAAGTAAGTAAGTAAGTAAGTAAGTAAGTAAGTAAGTAAGTAAGTAAGTAAGTAAGTAAGTAAGTAAGTAAGTAAGTAAGTAAGTAAGTAAGTAAGTAAGTAAGTAAGTAAGTAAGTAAGTAAGTAAGTAAGTAAGTAAGTAAGTAAGTAAGTAAGTAAGTAAGTAAGTAAGTAAGTAAGTAAGTAAGTAAGTAAGTAAGTAAGTAAGTAAGTAAGTAAGTAAGTAAGTAAGTAAGTAAGTAAGTAAGTAAGTAAGTAAGTAAGTAAGTAAGTAAGTAAGTAAGTAAGTAAGTAAGTAAGTAAGTAAGTAAGTAAGTAAGTAAGTAAGTAAGTAAGTAAGTAAGTAAGTAAGTAAGTAAGTAAGTAAGTAAGTAAGTAAGTAAGTAAGTAAGTAAGTAAGTAAGTAAGTAAGTAAGTAAGTAAGTAAGTAAGTAAGTAAGTAAGTAAGTAAGTAAGTAAGTAAGTAAGTAAGTAAGTATGAAAATTTTTATTGATTCACTAGAAAGTGGCATTAGAATTATGTGAATAAATTTTAAGAAACTCTCCAAAATTCATCTGTACTTGGGATAATTCACGTGATTTGAAACAGAACATGCACCATCTGTAATGTTGGATACAAATAATAAATCACTATACTAAATAATTACACACTGATTTATGAATGGTAAAAATAAAAAATATCGAAAAAGAAGATGGAATAGCAGTTAATGAATTGTAAAGAAAGTTTAGAATGAAGAGAATCTTTACAGAATCTCTTAAATTCAATGTACTAAACAATAAACATATGTTTAAAGCAAAAACAGAGTTGTTTCATATTTCCATTTATTCTCCTATTGTCCTAACACTAATTAACACTCATTAAGATGAATGTAGGTAATTGAATGTATGTATGATTGACTCCAATTAAGATATTGGATTATCCAAAACAAAAGCATGAAATTATGATAATGTCACTCTGTTCAGATGTGTAATTGAGTGTGCGTGTGGGGGGGAGGAGGTTATTTTTGCACACTATAAAAGGATAGGTGAAAATAAAGGGTGTCGTGATGAACATTCAATTTTTTTAACTTGTGATCTTTGAATTTGGTAACAATTAGAAATGTCATATTGTTGATTTTTAAAATTTTTTTAGATTAAATTATGTATCATTGAGTAGTGACCAATGTCGTGTTTGTTCTGTTGATAGGTGCTGATCAAATTATTGAAATGTGGTTACTAGTCTAAGTGACTGGGCATTACCAGTATTATGTCGAGGTGTTAGACAGTTGAACTTGGTAGGAAGAATATTCCGAACCTAGGCTTCGTGCTGACATACACTCGTCAACAACTTTACAAATAGAATACGATCAACGTTGTAGGATTAGGTAAATATGAAACTTACTTCATAATTACGCCTGTTACCACCAATGAAGCATAGGCCACCGACTAGCATTCTCCAACACACTCTCTACTGGACCTTCCTTTCTACTTCCATCCAAGTGTTACTCATTCCTCTCATATTTATCTCCATTTCTCGGTGTAATGTGTTCTCTGATCTCCCTCTTCTCCTTTGATCTTGAGGATTCCATATGACGGCTTGCCACGTGACACAGTTCAATGCTTTCCTCATTCTGTGTCATATCCACTTACAGCACCTCTTCCCGATTTCTCACCATACTGAAATCCGGTTTGTTCTCTCCTACACGAGGTTGTTGCTATTAGTGTCTGGTCAACGGATGCGAAGTATTTTGTGTAGACAACTCTTAATAAACACTTGTATCTTCTGCATGATAACTTTCGTAGTTCTCTGAGTTTTCACCCCATACTGTAGAACTGTCTTCACATTAGTATTGAAAATTATGACCTCGGTGTTGACTTGAGGACAATTGTTTCGACTTCCAGATATTCTCCAATTGTAGATATGCTGTTCTTGCTTTACCGATCCACGCCTTCACATCTGCATCAGATCCACCGTGTTCATCAATCATGCTGACCAGATATGTGAAGGTTTTTACATCTTGCAAAGCTTCTCTTTCAATGATGACTAGATTAGTGCATGTTGTGTTGTATTTAATGTATAGGAGAATCTTGCTTTTCCCTTTGTGTATGTTGAGACCTACTGGTGTTGAGGCTGCTGCCTCTGTTGCTGCTGCTGCTACACTGGTTGTCTCCTCCTGAATTTGTTATTGCATGTGCGATAGAAGAGTGAGATCATCTGCGAAGTCTAAATCGTTCAGCTTTACTCTAGATTTGCACTGTATCCCGGGCTTCCCCCCAGTGTTCCGTCTTCATGGTCCTGTCGACCGCCAGGAGAAAGAGCCTGGAGTTCCTCTGGGTCTACTGCCGGTTCCAAGCCCGGATGAAGGCGGAGGGTTGGGTATGTGTTTAACGACCCTATCTTGTAGCAAATTAGCAGACCAAAAAAACGCCAACCACAAAAATGAAACAAATCACTACTCAGCAATGAATTAATGTTAATCTCCTATAGGTCGTCAGTGGAGGGCCATATAGCTCAGTGGTAACATCTTAGGTTGTTAATCTGAATAACACGGTTTACATACACAAGGAATAACAATGTCTCCAATATTTCCGATACGTCTTATTGACGAGTCCCTTCTCTATGATGTACAGCGTTGGAACTACTATTTGGTTCTTTTAGGTGAGCAACTTTTCAAGTTATTCCGCATAAATTTTCCTCAATCCTAAATATTATGATATAACTGTATATGCT